ATTTTGTTAATCCAACAACTTAATTAAATTGGTTAAAATAACACCGCCTCCCTTTCCCTCCTATTCCCTCTTTCTTTTTCTCTAAACCAAACAAACTATTATAAAGAAAAAGTTGACTCTCTGCTTATAAACCATAACTATCTTTGATTTTATAAAGATTTAACATAATGTATAATATCAAATGTTTTGTTAATAAAAAGAACTGTTTTAGAGCAAAGGGAAAAAAAAAAAATCAAGGACAATTTTTGTGCTCAATTAAGTTTGGGGACCACAATTTGATCAATCAAACAAGTTGAGGAGCGGCCATATTCAAGCTCTCTAAACCTAAATAATCATGAATAATTTTTATTTTTTATTTTATAAAACCAAATATATATAATAATAGGAGAATTACAATGTATCTATAGCTTGTGATATATACAATACATAAAAGAAAAAAGAGCATAACCTAAAACACAAGTTATAATTATACCCTAAACTAATTTAGTTAATGCATGCAAAGGGCTACCAATACCTTCATAAATATCATAACTAGACCCAAGCTCAAAATATGATAGTTAAGCATCTTTCTTTCCAACATAATCCATGTAAATATAAGCTACTAGAATGTAATTACAGAGGTAACAATAAGGTTGCAAAATATAAAAGATTACTTTATAAGTTTTTTTAGTTACTGAATAATCTTATTTATTGTACTAACTCAGGAGAGGGCAAGTAGCTTGGCAGTACAGAAGATCCCTTCCACTATACTACTTTATATACAAATATTACTATTTCACTAATTAAGAAGCCAATTTCCAAAAATTGATATCTTCTTTTTCTTCTTTTGTATGGCTAGATAATATTCTCGGATAAATATAAAGACAAAGCTTCACCCTACCACAACTTGGAAGCAGGTTACATTGGTGTGTATATATATATAGACATCATTCTTAAAACAAAATCAATGAGTATCAGAGATAACATAAAATCGCCTTGAAGAGGGCATAAAAGAAGCATGTCTGTGGATTGGCATGGTTTTCCTTCGTTAGCTGCGCAGAGAAGGGAAGATAATACCACTACCAAATTAAATAAAAGATATCATGATGACATGTAATCAACGAAGACGACGAAGATTATCTGAATGGAACGTAAAAGAAATTCAAATTACAGAGAAAAAGTTCGTGAATCGGAATTTGAGGCATTGGTGGAAGTGGGAAACATTACCTGACTCTAATCCTTTCAATGGCAAACAATAAGCGTATGGTCCCCACTAGTCCCCACTGAGTCAGAAAAAAAAAAATGCTTTCACAATAACCATTAAGCATTTAAAGGTGAAAAGAAATGGCTGAACGAACACCATTTCATTAAGGACTACATTCAACAAGAAATGGGGAGTAGAGGGACAACGTTCACTACTGTTTAAGAAATAGAGAACGACATTGAACAAATTCGTAGTAGGAGGATGGACATGAATAAAAATGAACAAAAATTAAAAGTAGAGGAATGACAACTGGCTTTAATTCTTTCAATAAAACTTAGGAGCCAAAATCCATAAAAAAAACATCCATCTTTAATCACTCCCTAACTCTGCCGAAATTTTAACAATTGTTTTTCATAGCAACACAGAAGCCTTCCATTATATATTCCAATTCAAAGAAAAAGAACGAATCCAACCAAGTTCCACCAAATCCACCCAAAGTAGACCTGTTGCCTTGTTCCATTGCACTTCACCCACAAAAACAATTGGCAAATATCCAACAAAGCAATCAGTTGCCGTGCCCTTGATTTTTTTTTGTTTTTTCTCTCTTTTTCTTTTATGGAAAAGATAAAAAAAAAAAAAAAGATGTAATAGATTTTATACAAAAACAAAGAGAAAAACAAAATTAAAAAGATAAATTATATCGATAGATAAATGAAAAAGAAAGATAGAAGCTCTCTTAAAGAGAGAGAAATCCCCAAAATAGAAACTACAACTCCAAATCTTAACTCTAAAAGAGAAGCGTCGAAGGTTTGCATACAGAAACTAATTTTCAGTCCCTTCATGTCTGCAGCTTCAATTTGTTAGAAAAAATTTAAAAATCTTCGACTACTTGTCCTCCCAAACTTGGGATACTGGAATTCAACTTACATGAAGACTAGAACAATGGAGCTTTTCAAAAAAAAAAAAAGACTAGAACAATGGAAAATGATTAGAAGATAATTTTTGTGTAAAATTTTTTATATAATTTTATATGTCATTTAATGATAGATAAATTATAAATTAACTGTTTGTAGTTTAGAGTTGATGCATATAAATACTTATGATTTTAAAATATGTATATAATATATTTGTGATTTAAGATTTATGTAAAAAAAGACTTAAGAATATTTGTATTTAGTGTACATAACCACCTGAGCTTACTTAAAATGTTTTAAGTACTTCTATTTTTCTTCTCTTCTCAATTTTTTAAGTTAGAGCCTTTAAGATATTTCCTATAGTAATTTGTACTTTGTGCAAACCTTAAGTATTTATGTGCATATTTTGAAATTTTGAATCTTTATCATATGCTTAAAATCACAGGCATCTTACGCGTACGCACTTAAATCACAAATAACTAAATCGTAATTTTCCCTTTAATGATCGAATTCCCTTTACTCTACCAAAACTTATGATATTATAT